AGTTTCACTACGACTCCTCTTCTCCTTCCTAGAAACTCCCGAGCCATCACCTCGGGGTCTTTTTCCCCTAGTTTTGGATTTCGCCTCGGCGGCTGGAGCAGCAATAACCAGAGCCCCTACCGCCTCGGGGACATCGGTCTTAGGGGAGAAATGCTCGGCCACCTCGGGCACGATCGAAGCCACATCCCAAGCTTCATCGGTCGCCTCGGCACCAACGACGACCTCAAGGCCGGCCTCGGGAGGAGTAGGAGGTCTGAAGTTTGCCTCCAAAACAGCTTTTTCCTTAGCCGCCTTCTTTTCGGCATCTTTCCTGGCTCTCAGAGACTGCGCAGCTCCCTGCATCTCGATAAGCAAGGAGCTCCGTGCAGTAGACGCAGGGCTCTCTCAATTCTTTCTTGGGAGAAGTGTTTCGTCCAATCGCACTTCCGAGCTATTAGTTCGTCGTGTAGATCCAGAAAGCCTTCGGGAACGTCTTCGAGAAATGACGGGTTCCGATCTGCGTAAACAAGAAAACACTCAGTGAAAAGTTTAAAGAAAAACAAAACAGCAAATACGGCTTCGGGCGTAGTACCAATTTTTCTCCACTTTCCAACAACTTTCCCTAAGTAGTCCTCGTGGATACTATACTCATTCAAGGCTACGAAGAAGAAATGGTCGGTGTACTTCTCATCCTTGCTCGGGAAACCACCGATAACCCTCCTATTTGGCCTCGGAGATATGTAAAATCTCTCAACAGGGCCTGGTATGCGCCGGATCTCTAGGAGATTCCTTAACTGGCTAAGGTCGACAAGGTTGACCGTCTCAATACTCCGGACTAGAATCCCTATAAGATGGCGCAAGCCTCGGGTTGTGATCTGAGACAAAGCGATCTTGTACGACCATAGAAACGCCAATATAGGCCTCGGAATCAGAAGCCAGAGGTAGCAGTGGTAGAAGAACCCCTCATAAAGGGTGAGAAACCCCTCGGGCGGATCGTCCGCTCGCTCGCTCGGAGTTGGAAGTCTTAGTTCAATCCCCTCGCTAAAACCGAATCGAGCCTTGAGATCCCGAAGGGAATCCTCCGTACATAAAGTGGAACCCGGGGGATTAGGTTTCTTAGCTTTCTTGGCTCGTTTTCTCTTCTGTTGACCCTTGGCTGCTTGGACTTTAGCTTGGAGCAACCTAGCCGCCTCGTCAGAATCGTAGTGAACCTCCTCGGCCTTAATAGGAAGTAGAGGCGCCTCGGGGGCATTTCGCCAGCACGAGACTCCAGCTTTACCAGCTGCCGGTGGATGGATCCTCCTTCTACTCAAAATCGCCTCAGGGTCATCAGGCAAATCCTGATCCCGAGCCACATCCGCAATCGTGTCTTCCCGAGCAACAAAACGGCTCGGGTCTTCCTCCCGTGAGGCCGACTCTGCATCACTACCGCGGTACAACTTGATCTGACGGTCCGTGGTTCCCGCCTCGTGGTCACTCGAAGAACTCCAGACCATCTTTCTCTTGTAGACAGGGAGATGAGTGTCTCCTCGGGGCGAATCACTGGAATCAGAGAGAGACATTTTCCGGCTCGGGCAATTGAAGCAGTTGATCGGAAGAACAAAGCTTGACAGATCGGAGAAATCGACCTAGATCTAATGACGGTGGCGCTACGACGGAAGTATAACGGAGAAAGTATAAAATGCAAGAACTCAAGATCAGAGAGAGAAGAGAACGAACCTTGAAAATTTTCCTTTGCAGTTGCGAAATGAAAAAATGAGTCGGAGACTTAACATTTATAGAGATTTAGGGCGCGTCGGGTACGAGCGAGCCAAATAAAACACATCGTATCCGCGTCTAAGGCGCGTCGGCCATGCACGAATTGAGTAGGATACTTCGCATCCGCACGAATCTCGGGAATCAGCGAAAGGACCTTTCCACTTCTCGAGAAGGAATCCCAACCGTCACACGGCAAGAGAAGATGAAACGACAGAGGAATTCGAATCGCCAAAAACTTTAAAGGGACCGAACTGTCCAAAGTAAACGGCTCGGCCTAATTGTCATAAAGCTCGTCACGCTTGGTTCTCCAAACTAACGAGCTGGGGGGCTAACTGTTGGGGTCGGATTCCATCCTTTGGCGCCGAGCCAGACTTAGAACACCTCGGGAGTTTTACAGAGATCACCTCGGGATATCGCATCATCCACCTCGGGTTATCCACCTGATCAGCCTAGGGTACCCGAGCCCATCATCTTGTAGTATCCGAGCCCGGTCGCTTCGGGGTACCCGAACCCATCGCCTCGGGGGTACCCGAACAAGACATCGGGGGTATCCGAGCCCATCGCCTCGGGGTACTCGAACAAGACAGCTCGGGGTACCCGAGCTAGTCTCTCCTGTATACCCGAGCCGATTGCACAAGTTCTCCGAGGCGAAGTCTTCATCATCACCCGAGGCAAAGACTTGATAAATATTCATCTTCAAAGTATCATTTCCAAGCAAGGCGTCATTTCCGAAGGATCATTTCCGATAGACCCGGAAATGATAAAGGAGAATCTCGAAAGATCAACTCAAATCAGGAAAACTTCCGAAAAACCCCGAAGAATAAGGAAACTATCCTAATCCGCGATATTCTGAGCCGACTTCAAGATAAATGGAAATCTTCCGAGAATATCGCTGGAGAGGCGGTTTATCACCCCTATATAAAGAGATTCAAGGCTCTCGCAGAAAGCAAGGAATATCGCTCTAGAATTTACACTACGCAAAGCTCTCACAGCACAATCATCTTTTTCTTTTACGATCAAACTCTTGTACGATCAAAGTCATATTTTTCTTAATAATATCAAGAACACCATCTTTGGTATCAATTGATTCTGTCGTTCTTTGAGAATTCTCGCAAATCGTATCCCTAAATTAAAACCCTAGACAAATCTCGATTGTGTTAGTTTCGACTTCCACAATCCTAACTTGGAATCGAGAGTTTCAATCGAAAACTCAAGAGGGAGTGTTGAAGGTTGAGTCTCCGATTGAACCTGCAATTGAGAAAGAGAAGATGATTAAGAATCAAAAGAATTACAGTGAGGAGAAGAAGAAGAAGAAACTTGGTTGAAGAAGAAGAAAAGCGTCGAAGAAGAAGGGAGTCAAAGAAGAAGAAGAAAAGTCAACAAAAAGATTATGGGCTTAGGGTTGTTTTTAGTAATGGGCTCCGAATAAACTAAGGCCCAAATGAAAAGAAAGAGTGAGTTGTTGTCTGAGCTAAGTACTAAGTTAGAAGAGGGTGTTAGGTCTGAACAGTTAAGAGTGGTTGGAGTCTAATGATGGAGTGGATTGCTTGTGTAAGTGAATCTAGATTGTAGAAGTAAGATGAGAGAGTAAGGGTAAGTGAGTAGCTACTAGCTAGTGAAAGAAAACTTGTATAAGTATGTGTATGTGTGTGTCCTTGTAATAAATGGAAGTATGAATGAAAAATCTTAAAAAAGAAAGAGAGAGTTTAAGAAAACCTGAGTAAAATTTGAGAATTGCAACAGGAGAGGAGAGAATCGCTCCCAAAGTCTTCAATGTTGATCTCCAGCAAACCGCCACGGCTGAGATCAACGGCGTGACGGCACATGGCTTCGAGATCGTACTTCCAGACATCGAAATTTTTTGACATTCGTGTCTCGATTTTGGTCCACATTGATGGGTCTTGACATACGCGTCGCCACAATTTGCATACCTTCTGAGCGTTGTTGAGTATATCATGTATGTTAAGACGGAGAAGAATCGAAGACGTCAGCTCCGATGGAAGATCCACCCAGTTTCTTCTATATCCACCGTGCTTCATCGCCGGAGGTGAAAGACGAAGACGACAGCGAAGAGAAGTGAAGTTAATTTAATTTCGATTCCTTTTGAAAATTACAATATTTTCCCTCATTGCATTATATAATTACGAAAATATTTCATGCTTATAGGTCTACTAAGCCCATTACTCGATAAACAAAAACAATCTTTTAATGATAACAATCAGTCAATCACAAAAGAGAAATTCTTATTAATAACAATATGTTTTCTCTTATGTTTTCTATTTCTATTTTCATTTCATATTGAAAGTTACTAGTTACTATGATAGTTCTTTTTTTTTAACTTCTCCATTTATTATTTATTACAAATTATGAGAGTTGTCACATAGACGATTTTACAACGGACAATTCCTTCCGACCCTTATTAGATCCACTACGACACTTCTTTTGATGAAGACCTTCAATGATCCACGACCTAACGACAATTTCCTCTCTGCGTAGAATCCTGGCGAACGGCTATAATTATACATCGCTGAAGATCTCCTGCACACTTGCCTCCATTAATCTACAAATTTGTTAATAAATCGCAGTATATGTGACTCGAACCTCAAACCTCTTGGTGTAGAAGCATTAATTAACCCTTAGTCAACCAATGGGTCCAGAAGGCTTCCACTACTATGATAGTTTTGTTTTTACTTCTGACAATTCAATTTTGTTTTTTTAGTAACGATATGTTTCTATGAAAAGCATAAAATAATACATGGACCAAGGATTATAACATTTGTATATAACAAAAAAAAACTCAACATAAACCTAATTATCCTAAATTTTTGGTTCATGCATTTATAAGGATTTGGAAATCAAAACAAAAGTTATTTGTTATTCAATCATTGATTTTGAAATCTTAATTAAAATCATGTGTTATTGGTTCTATGAATTATAAATACTAGTTAAAATCTTATGTTATTCGTTTAGTCATTTGTTTTGGGATTTCAAAATCCAAATTATGTTTTAAATGGATTTGAATGAATTTAAAAGAAAAAAATAGATGGATTCAAATCCATCGGTAAACACATGTTATTTCAAAATTCATATGTTTTGATTTCATAATTAATAAAAAATTTCAAATCCTTTATTGATTTACAAATCAATAACACCATAGTCTTTTCTAAAATTAATCCAATAATTGATATATGTTACGTTGACCCGACCGTTTATACGGATTTAGCTGTTGTGCAGAAAAAAATAAAATAAAAAAATATACGGATTTAGTTCGAACTCAACATTGTTTGCAAGTTGCTATTATCGAAAGCTGAAAAATAGTAAATCCACAGTTTTAAAATTGTATTATGGGTCTTGACCGGTAAATAATGTTTCACAAGTTGAGTGAAACTGGTCTATCAAGCTTCCAGGTTCTTAAAATCTTAATACTATTAATCTAATCCTTGTAAACCGGACAAGAAGGCGATGTTCTTATAAGAGTTTGGCTCCGATTGGTAACCAATTTTGAGGAAAAGAATGAGTAAGAATGTCATGTTCTTTTTGTTCCTCATTTTTTTTTACCATTTATAAAGAATTTTTGTTCCATTTTCAGACATGTGGGTCATACATTTTTCCTCTTCATTTCTCAAAAAAAAAAAGAATGATAGAACAAAATTGTTCCTCCCCAAAATTGTAGAGGAACAATAAGGAACAAAAATTTTAAATTCGTTTTTAATTTTTAAATAATTTTAAAATAGCTTTTTTGATAATATTTACATTTTTATACATAAATAATTCCTATATTTTTATTATATATTTATGTATAAAAAACTTTTATCAAAACTTTAATTTAAATGAATCTTATGACTTTGTTTTAAATTAGTATTTATACTAAAATATATAAATAAATGCTTTTAAGTGAAATTTATATTATTTTAAAATAAAATATTTGAATTTATACTATATTTCGTTTTAAATTAAAATAAAAAATTAATTTTAAATAAAATTTTGTAAACTAAATAAAATACATAATTTTTAATAATTATTATGTTAAATATTTGTTCAATTTTTTGGTTACCATTTACGAAAATCATTTGTTCAATTCTTATGTTCCTTTTTTTTTTTTTGTCAACCACACATTAATTAATAAATAATTCCTTGATTGGTTGCCCAATTAGGAGGAGTAGAGTTTACAAAAGTAACTTCAGAAAATAAAAGTCTAGAAGAACGAGCTAAGCAGTCCGCTTGAACATTACATAAATGAGAAATAAGAGAAAGCGAGAAGAAAGGGAAAGAGAGACGGAGAAAACCAAACTCGTCTAGAAGATTGGAGAAAGCAGGCCATTCATCCGGTGAGTGTATCATCGAGACTAACTCCGAGCAGTCTGATTCAAACACCTGACAATCGATCCCTCTTGAAAGGATATTCTTCATAGCCCAAATTAAAGCTTCCATCTCCGAGTGAAGAGGGGAGGGATACCTCCGAAGGCACTTTGCACCGAGCAGTATCGTTTGATCATTTCCTTGAAAACACCACCATCCTATACCCATTGTTGGATCTGAATTTTTCCAAGAACCATCAATCCGACATCTTATAGATTGAACCGGTCGTTCCAAAGTTTCCGTAGTAGAACTAGTTTCGATCGGATCCAACTGAGCTTCTTCCCACATTAATTTTTCACTCAAAGCATGATTTAAAATATCTCTGGGTTCAGATTGTAATCCCTTGAAAACCTTTTTATTCCTATCTTTCCAGATGAACCACAAAATCCAAGCATAACTGAAAGTTTTCTCTCCCCCATCTAGATTAGATGGTAACCTCCAATAAAGATAATCTAGATTTGAGAATTCCGAGGTTAGAGGAAAACTACCTATTGCCGTAGGTATATCTGATAATTCCCATATTTTCTGAGAATGAGTGCACTCAAATAAAGCATGATTTATTGTTTCCTCTGCCATCTCACATCTTTTACAGAGAAAGTCACATTGGATCCCTCGATGTGCTAATTTTGAAGTAACTGCTAGAGATCCCATAACAATTCTTATGTTCCTTTTGGTTCCTGGTTTTGATCATTTTCCTTTCCTTTTTGTTCCTTTTCATTCCTTTTTTTTCCTGTTCCTATTGTTCTTTTTTTTGTCACCAATCGGAGCCTTAGTGAACTTGCGATGAAAGAAACATGGTAACAAGGAATTTACACACTCAAAAGCTACACTGAGGCAAAGAGACACACGTCCACTGAAACTACTTACCGACTTAATAAAAAGAGGAATGAACGAGTTCATTAACAGTCTCGCCACTGCTATTTTGTCAACACAACTTATCATTGCATTCTTCAAAATGATCGGACCGCTTATCCTTATCTAGTCATAATACGAGTAAGAATGATAGTGGACATCACCTGCCATGTTGGAGACATACTCATCGCTGTCATATGAGTAATCATAGCCTTCTTCATATGAGTAATCGTAGCCTTCTTCTTCATCTTCTTTGTCATCAGTATCGGAATTAACGTCATCATACTCATGAACTTCATCTTCAGTATTGGAATTAACGGCATCATACTCATGAATCGAGTCATTAGGATGTCTCAAGACTTTGATCCTATCGTAACACTGCTTCTTCCAATCCCCCACAAGGTTAACGTTGAAACACTGGCGTATATCAAGATGTTCTAGCTTCGGACAATTGTCAAGAATGGAGTTTAAACCGGCGTCTGATAATCCGTTCCTTAAAAGCTGGAGGTGGCGAAGACCAGGCATTGTTTCAGCGATTGCTAGAGCAATCTCATCATCACAGTCCAAGTAACGGCTGCGGTTAAGCTTCAACTGCCTTATCATCAACGTCCTCAGTTTTGGACAAGACTTGCCTACAACTTTCAAATGATCTCCTGAGATAAACGAGTCTGTAACCTCGAGTTCTTCAAGCAATGGGAGTTTCACAGCTGCTTTGAAAATTCCAAAACTCGTTATGATACCACCGTCAATAGCTCCAAGACGTCTAAGCTTACTTGATCTGCAAATAACACGATCTACTGCTTATAAGATGCAATAATTTCAATAAAAAAATCGTTCCTACTACTTATCAACTCAGAAACATACCACTTAGAATTCTAAGCTATGAATTTTTTTGCTCTAATCCACACAATAGAACAAGAAACTTAGGAACAAACACAATTTGGGGCTTTTCATATCATTCAAACCCTAGAAATAACTATTTCCTTACTACAATTGAAATCAAGTCAACATTCTCAGAAATTTCATCAAAATTTTGTGTGTTTGTGAGTTTTAGGGTTTAGAAAGAACCTATCGGCGATGTAGGTGAGGAGAGAATCGCTCCCGAAGAACTCGATGTAGATCTCCAACAAGCCGCCACGGCTGAGATCAACGGCGTGACGGCACATGGCGTCGAGATCAAAGACGTGACGGCACATGTCCTTCCAGACGTCGAAATTTTTTGGGATTCGCATCTCGATTTTGGTCCACATTGATGGGTCTTGACATACGCGTCGCCACGATCTGCATACCTTCTGAGCGTTGTTGAGTATCTCAACTATGTGAAGACGGAGAAGAATCGAAGAAATCAACTCCGGTGGAAGATCCGCCCGGTCTCTTTTATATCCTCCATTCTTCATCGCCGGAGGTGACAGAAGAAGACAACGGCGAAGAGAAGTGAAGTTAATTTCGGCTCCTTTTTGAAAATTACAAAATCGCCCCTCATGGCATTTGATAATTACGAAAATATTTCATGCTGACTATTGGGCCTAGCCTCATAATTGGCCTCGTTAGTTATTAGTTAACCAACAAGGAAGGATCGAAGCAATTGACAGATTTATATGGATAACCAAAGACAACATTCTACTGACAACAGAGAAGTTCTTATTACGACACCAAAACCACAAACAAGAGATTGGTCACAAGACCTGATTTTAAACTTTATCACAATTCTCATTATGTGCTCAATGCAAAAAGGCCTAAAACGCCTTTGCTTTCTTCTCTATTTGAAGAAGAAAAGAGTTTGTCTTCAACAAAAGGGACTAAAGTGATTCTTTCTTAAACAAAGATTCAGAGGAGAAGCTTGGTTTAGAGAACGGCGGTGTCAACCAAGGCTTCTGTAATCTTCCTCTCCAGTTCCTTTGGCTCGATCCATAATGAACTCTGCTCACGTAGTAGCTTCTCTCTCTCTTTGATCTTCTCTTCCCTTTTTTGACCCATCATCTTCCAGATCTCTAGCTTTTCTGCTCTTTCTTTAATCTACAGTTTATTAAAGACAACACCGGTCTATAAATCAACATTTCTTGAATCAGTTTTACAACTGAAAGAAAAACACTATTGACCATTACTGCTCTGAGTCTGTGACCAAGAGAAATGAAATGAGGAACTCAAAACTAGAATCAGAAACCAGGGAGAAGTACACTTCTCAATTAATTTGCAGACACAAGTATATGATTCAGTAATTACTATTTGGCAAGTGTGTGTGTACAATGTTTCATCTACCTAAAGCTCGGACAAATGACGCGTCTAACTAACAAGTTTCACTGTCCTCAAAAGAATTCCCATTGAAAGCATCAAGATCAAGCATCAAAATCTATCTTATGTTTGAATGTTTGATTTACAGGTACGATGCCAAAGCTGTAACCAAATCAAGAACTACTACTGTATAGAGACAATGATGATTACATGATTCATCAAAAAATCTCCACTTGACGCTAAGCAACGATTATCCAAAAGCTCTTAGTCATACATCTCCATCAGATCTAACTTAAAAGTTTTCTCTTCAATCCACAAACACCCTTTTATATTATACTACACCCTAAACTAGGAAAAATTCCCACATTTCAAGAGGACAACAACATATTACTTCACCAGATTACAAACCCTTATTTTTTTTTATTCAATAATCATCTCCCACTAAACTAACTACTTGATTAAACATCCATAATTGAGAACAGAGAAAGTGTATGTACCAGAGTTTGCCTGAACTCTTCATCAGCAATCTTACGTTCCTCAGCCCTAACCTTAGCAGCCTCAGCCTTCAACCGTCGCCTCTCCTCATTAGCAGCTCGTTCAGCCAACAATCTAGCCTCATCCTTACGCTGTTTCTCAACACGAAGCATCTCAATCTCATGAATATACTCTTTACGATACACTTTAACTTTCTTTGCATAATCTCTCCTAAGCTGTGCAAGCTTTCTCTCTGCATCTTTTGGATCACTCGGAGCTTCCCAGCTACCAATATAGTTTTCTGGCTCAAGAAAATTGTGAGTCTCTTGGTGAAATCTATGGTGAGTGGCTTCAGCAGAGAAGGACCTGAGAGAGCCAATCATGGAAGCGTTCTCACTCTGCCTCACGAGACGGCTTAGCTTATTGCAAAACGCCATTTTCACTGAATCTGATTCTACACAAGAAAGGGAACAAACGAAAAACTCAAATACAGATTCAGATTCAACAACACACACAGAATTCGAAATTAGTGTTTCTACGTTGCAACAACAATTAGATCCACAAAGGTTTCTAGCTAAATCCGAAAGCAAAATTGGTCGAAGAAGCTTACCTGGGAGGAATGAATCGACGGAGATTTGTTAAGAGAGAACCCAGGAAGAGGAAGAAGAAGAAGAAGAAGCACAACGGCGGAGAAACAAACCGGCGTGAAGCTTTTTAGGGCTGATAGAAATGAATGTATTTTGATTTTTTTATTTTTTTATTTTGTTTTTGGTAAGCAGAAGGGAGACACCCTCATATTATTAAAATAAAAAGTAATTACAACCGAACATGAACATTACGTGGAAACGCAGTTAATTAACATCCTAAAACAAAATCGGATCTACTACCTCCGGACAATCCTCTAACAAAAGAAAATCCAACTCCAACGAAAACGCATAGACTGCTAATCAATCGGCTAGACGATTAGATTCCTTATACACATGAGTAACCCGGACTAACCAGTCCCTCGAAATAAAGTCATGGCACAGACGTACCAGGAAGGACAGAGGATGAGCATCGCTTACCCCTGACCGAATAAAACCTACCACCAACTCCGAGTCCACTCTCAACTCCACCCGCCTATTTTGAATATGTGAATATTTATTATTTTCCATTGTTTTTCTACAATTTTACACCTATGTCTAGATAAATAAATATTTCTTCTACTCGATATTATTCATTACTAGTGTTATAGCCCGTGCGTTGCACGGCCCTTTTTCAACATTTTGGATCTTTTTTTATTTTGGGCCATCGTTAAATTTTCTTTGTAGTATTGCTAGGCTATTGGGCTACTATATTAGTTTATTAAAAATAAAAATAAATAAAAAAATAGAATAGTAGACGCAAAAAATTGCTTCGAGAGTGATAATCATTTTTGCAGCTCATTCACAAAAAAAATTCTTCGATTTCTCTTTTTTTTCGGATTGTTCATCCTGAAATTTGCGTTTGTTTTCCTTCACTAAATCCTATTTATCTTCTAATATGATTCTCGTCTCCTTAATTTCGGCGTCTGCGTCTCCGTCTCCGGTCGAGTTGAATCATCTAGAAGCTGTTTCGATTTCGGCAAAGCTATTTGGTAAGAAATCCGAGAAGCAATAATAATACATATGCACATGAATCTGATTATTAACTTTTTATAATATGAAATAAATCTGATTTGTTTTCAGATCTTTGAGAAAAGGATTGTCGGTCATTTAGTTGAACGTGTGTTTCTCGACCAAGAACGCAAAAATGGAGTAAGTTTTCGGAATTTAATTCTTTTCAAGCATTAGATTTTGCAGGAGGATTTGTCTTTGGATGATGATGAAAAACATATTGAATAAAATACGTTCTATCGTAATAAGCTGTCTGCTAAAAGAAAAAGAATAATTACATAGGATTTTAAGCTTGTTTGATTGACTAAACAACAAAACACTTCTTGATAGTAATTGAGATTGTAGATAGCGAGAATTGCAACTCAAGCTTTAAAGCACTCCATCTGCAACTTGAATGACTCAAAAAATAAAACGTATTAGAATACTTTCGTTATATATATACATATAAGGATATTTGTAAGAATAAAGTAGTAAGGTTATGGTCTAAGACGATATAGGACATACCTCATATGTTCTGAAATATTTCTTTGTAGACAACGTTAGTTGTTGTCTTCACCCTTTCACCATTTTCATCAGTGATGATAATTTTCAAGCCTTTTCTGCTTTTGACTCTTGATACCGCAACGTATAGTTGCCCATGTGTAAATACTGGTCTCGGCAAGTATATCCCAACATGAGATAGACTTTGTCCCTGACTCTTATTAATAGTCATCGCAAAGCAAGGTGCTATTGGAAACTGTCTTCGCTGAAGCCGAAAAGGCAATCTAGAATCTGTAGGTATCAGAAGCATTCTTGGAAGATAGACTTTCTTGCCGATGTTATTTCCAGTGAGAACTTTTGCTTCAATGATCTGTTTTCCAAGTCGTGTTATTTGCAGCCTAGTTCCATTACACAATCCGTATTGCTGGTCAAGGTTTCGTAGCAACATAATAGGAACACCCTTCTTCAGTTTCAAAAGGTGGTTTGGCAATCCAGAACACCTGATTGAATTAAGGTATTCTGTTGAGATACCATCGTCCCTCGTCCTTGAAGAATCTGAACTGCAGATCTTATCTGAACTATAATATTGATGTGATTCTCCTGGAAGAAGGTCCATGATGTAATTGTTTACCTCATCAACAACATCATTAGTAGGACAAAGTATCGCACGTTCCTTGAAATAGTCCCCATCATCAAGATTCTGAAGCAAAGACGGATATGTGCTAAGTGCGATTGAATTGATTGGATCCAAAGAGTCTTTGAGAAGCATATCCTCTGGTATATCTATCTCCGCTTCACCGTTGTTTGGCTCAGAAAGTTTACCGTCTCCAAGTTTTAATATCCACTCAGAAAACTCTTTGATGATATCCACTTCTAATGGATCTGACTCCACAGTTAGTCGCATGTTCTTTGTTAATGAAAGAACTTGGCAAGAATTCCACAGAGACGAAGAAGATAGTGAAGCTTGAACAATCTGTTCTCGACTACCTTTAGGGACCACCGGTAAAATCTGGCGAAAATCGCCTCCAAAGACAACAGTCTTACCTCCAAAAGGTTTGGTAGGGTTGAGAATATCTTTCAAAGATCGATCTAAAGCTTCGAAACAATGTTTATGCATCATTGGAGCCTCATCCCAGATGATCAACTTTGCTTCTTCTAACAAAGCTGCAATATCACTATCAGGAGTAATGGTGCAAGTTGAAGTCTCGTGTACCTGTATTGGTATTGAAAATCGAGAATGCGCCGTGCGACCACCTTCTAATAACAATGCAGCCATTGCACTGGATGCTACATTTATGACAATCTCCCTTTTTGATCGAATGTAAGTAGATAGAGTTTTCCATAAAAACGTTTTGCCTGTGCCTCCAAATCCATAGACAAAGAAAACACCTCCTTCTTTTGAATCCACTGTAGCCATTATACGCTCAAATATATTCTTCTGTTCAATGTTCAACATAGGTAGCAAACGGTGATATTCCTCTTGACACGCTTGCCTATCGTAACATAATTCATCACTTATGAGCATGTTGATCGCAGCTGGGATATTGTTATCATCAAGAAATGGGATTTCACGGAAATTTGTTAAAGAACTTCCATTAGATAACAAAAGCCTTTCAATTTCAAACAAAGTTTGATTCTTGATTTGCTCCTCTGACATCGAAAAATCTACAGGTTGAAGATAAAACATCAGTTTCAGTTAAACTTAAATGAAATTATGGATTATACCTAAATAACTTATGAAAATGTACCTGGTGCCTGACGGATTTTCTGCTGCATGTATAATATATCCTCGGAGAGTAAATGCCACGTTTCTGACCAAACGCGGTTTGGCGTTGACAAACTTTCTGAAAGAAGAAGCATAACAAAAATTCTTCGCATATAATGTGCTGACCCCCATTGACTTGCTTCGGTTATTGCATCAATATACTCTTTATCATCATCAAGAAGATTTAGGGCAAAACATGCTTCCTTGTAGGTCGAATATATGACTCCATCAACAGTGCGTAAGTCCTCAAAACATGTAGCTCCTGTTGCTTTGTTTAAAAGCATCCTCATGTAGAACAAATTACCCGCTGCTGGAGTAAAATGATGTATTCTCCCAAATGCTATATTCCTTTGACGGTCAGTCCATTCTTTTATTTTCTTGTTCCATACAAACCAAAATGGAAATTCAGCGTACGTGAGTGTCTTAGCGAAATCGTCACGGCTGTTCGTTTTCATCCACTCTAATAGTTGCGAGGTTTGATTTGCTTCTTTGGTTAGGACTTCATCAACATCATCATCATCATCGTACATAACACTATGCTCTCCTTCTAGATGAATATTCAGTCTTTGAATATGAACACTACTATAGTGTATTTCAAATCCAAATATCCTCCACGTAGCTTCACATGGTGCAATGTACCTTTAAAGAAATTAGAAAACCGTAAATTAACCTTCCAAAAACAAAGACATGTAGTATACTATCTTAGAAACAAATTTTACCTAAAATCATAGAAGCGCTCGATTTCATCTATAACATGTTCTACGTCCGGGTCTGAAGATGCATCATTTCCTATTGGATTTTTCTTTGTTGTAGCTAAGACACGATCACTTCCCTTGTTGATGTATTTGAATAAATACTTGATTGCTTTTGTTTGGCTGCACCACTCCACATTGATGTGGGCTTGATACTTGAGAAGTAGATATGCGTTGTAAGGAACAACAAATCCATTGTCTAGAACAGGTCCATTTTTCTCAACTGATCGACCATCATCTCTTCGTTTGTAAACTGGAAATCCATCTTTGTTGATGCAAGTGCTGCTGCTGAAATCTTTAGGGAATTTCTTAGTGCACTTTCTTTTATCCATACATGGTGATTTAGGATTTGCAAGCCCACAAGGTCCATGTATCATAAATTCTTTGACAACATTGTAGAGGCTGGGATTAGTTGCTTCGTCTGGAATTTCAGCAGAGATAACTGTATCAATGGCAGTTGTTGATGACAATTTTGATCCCTTCTGCAAAAAGAGTAGGATATGGGCATGTGGTAGTCCTCTTTTTTGAAATTCTACTGTGTACAAAACTGCATAAAACATGTAGTATCATTACGACAAATCAAAACTTAAAGGAAATTATTCTAAAAATGAACAATAAAAAGAAGTGTTAGATGTTTTTACCTGCTGCTGCAGGACCGAAGACATTATTCTGTTTAATATCAGCAATCAAATTGTCGAGCTTAATCTTAAAGATTCTAGCCACAATATCAGCTCTGTCTATTGATTGGTGACCTCTTGCATTTAGAAATCTTGTAATTTTAGGCCATTTTGGATTGCAAGTGAACGTAATAAACAAATCTGGATATCCAAAGTGCTGACAAACTGCCATTGCATCCATATATCTTTCTTGCGTACATCGTGCGCTACCAATGAAGGTAGATGGTAGCACTATACGCTTACCAACCTTTGAGGTGTTCATGTTTCCTTTATCAGCGGCAGCTTCTACGTTGACGTATTTATCAGCACGTAAAGTCTTTTGGTTTAGCTTCAAGTAGCCTATTCTTTCTGCCTCGATCATTGTCAATCCATCTACCAGAAACTGTTGAAATAATTTCCCTGAGCTCATCAAAGAAGTGGGATGATTTGGACGTTCCATGAGCTTGTAAGCAAAAAATTCCCTCATACTAACCCTTGTTCGTGGATTTGTTGAACCTGTTGTTGTCTTCTTTAGTTGTAAATCTATGTGGTAACCGTCTTCTCCGTAGGGAAACAAAAGCGGATATTGTAATGGAAGATATCCAGCATGAAGCTCACTTATTCTCTTTAAATTTCCGTCCCTTGTTTCCAACACAACATCTCTTGGCTCCATTTCTATATCAAATTCTCCAGCATATAAAGCAGCAACTTCTGTTGTGGTAGGAAGATTGTAAGTTTTTTCACTTGTACTACTTGTAGCACCTGCAGTTCGCCTCGAAATCAATTTCAACTGAACATTTGACGAAGGTGTATCTTTGAAACGATCTTTTGCTGTTCTCAGAATCTTTGAGTATGGATTATACTCATTAAGCATCTTTTTTATATCTTCCACAATATCATCTCGTAGGGTTTTTGATTCAGGTAATTGACCAGTTCTCTTTGCACTGCAAAAATTAAATATAATGAGAAGTTCTGGAAAATAAAGATGCAAAGAATAACATAAAAAATTTGTGTAATAGTTGTAAATCAATGTAAAGTAACTTTAAACCTGAATGCTTCTATTCGGTTTTGATTCTCATTCTCAGTGTCTTGTATATACAACTGATTGAATTTAGGTGGTTTTCCTGGAGGAGGAAGTAGACTGCCAATCCTATGACAATTTTGACCTTGAAGTCGGTAAACATTTGGCCCTCGTCCTTTGTTCACCGATGTGTCAATTGTTCCACCCATAGATGTGAATGCAAACATTGAGTTGTAAGGTCGTATATTCTCCATGAAATTTTTGCTTCTTTCATCACCTTTGAACATGAGATCTTTAAGAATCTGGGGAAGTTCTGGTGGTGGTGCCAAATCGATCTTTCCATGCATACAACAAAGTGAGAACTTTGGGTAAGATTTCACGCGCCTCTTTTCTATGCGTTCGTTATACCACATTAAAGCTCCACAGTGTTCACAGTTGTAGATTGCATCCCCATTGTCATCATACTCTTCAGAGTTATATAGTGAATTATGTGAACGTGAGGATGATGCATGGTCTGAAAAGAACATAAAAACATTATAGTTTAAACTCTGAAAAATTTATTAGTTAGGATCGGATGATGCTAAAAAGTATGTACCTTTAGATGGAGCTTCTTTGTGATTATCATGTCTTGATTCTTGCATATATGGTTCCTTATGCACGTTTGTTTTCCTCCTACTTGCTGCAGTACATGGAAATCCATTGCCATTGCTCTTGCCGTTCTGTGTCGTCTCGTCAACGTTCGGTGTCGTCTCGTCCAAGTTTTGGTCCAAGTTAGTACTTGGAGCTGAAGCTGAAAATAAGGTATGATTTCCATGATTCTTGTTGTAAACTAAGTTTTGACATGATTCTGGTTGTGAACAACATTCTTACATGATTCTCCTTTCTTTCTTTTATCTTTCGTCTCCTTTATAATACGCATTCGTTTCATCCTTGGAGATTCACATTCTACTGAAAATATTTCAAATAAATAGCTGTGAAATCATAATATTATCCAAGGCATTAAATATACTCTTAGTAATTGATAATACCATTTGTAATATCACTCAAGCTATTAGGTGAAACTCTGTTTGGTTGCATTGGTGATATGGGGTTAGCTTCAGAATTAGGAGGAATGTTTTCTGTATATATAAGATAGAAAAAACGTTAAAGCAACCATTGGTTTGCAGAAATGAAATAGATTAATAGGTTTTTTGATTTAGTATTACCCTGATTTTCTGTTTGATTGTTTTTCTTCTTGGAACGAATCGCCATCCTCTCCACCCTTCTTTTCTTTGCTGTTGATGATTTCATTTATATTGGCCTTCGATAATAAAGAGTTTTGTTTAATACAAATCAATTTCAGGTTGATGTCAAGAGTAGAGAATCAATAAATATGGAAATTTGACAGAAGTTAAAAACCTATGAAGGAGGTAATGGTGGAGAAACACTTGACAGGATCCGGTGGTAGAAGATGATAACTGTCGATTGTAAAAGTTAATGGTGGGAACAATACAAAATAGATATTGAGATCGTGGGGTCTGAGATGTATATAATGGTTGTTTTAAAAGCTGAAAGATAAAAAATTGGGACTTAAGCCAGGTGTCATATGGAGGATGTTGCAGTTACTTGAAAATTTACTTGTGATTTATTAGATAACATCGTCCCTCGTCCTTGAAGAATCTGAACTGCAGATCTTATCTGAACTATAATATTGATGTGATTCTCCTGGAAGAAGGTCCATGATGTAATTGTTTACCTCATCAACAACATCATTAGTAGGACAAAGTATCGCACGTTCCTTGAAATAGTCCCCATCATCAAGATTCTGAAGCAAAGACGGATATGTGCTAAGTGCGATTGAATTGATTGGATCCAAAGAGTCTTTGAGAAGCATATCCTCTGGTATATCTATCTCCGCTTCACCGTTGTTTGGCTCAGAAAGTTTACCGTCTCCAAGTTTTAGTATCCACTCAGAAAACTCTTTGATGATATCCACTTCTAATGGATCTGACTCCACAGTTAGTCGCATGTTCTTTGTTAATGAAAGAACTTGGCAAGAATTCCACAGAGACGAAGAAGATAGTGAAGCTTGAACAATCTGTTCTCGACTACCTTTAGGGACCACCGGTAAAATCTGGCGAAAATCGCCTCCAAAGACAACAGTCTTACCTCCAAAAGGTTTGGTAGGGTTGAGAATATCTTTCAAAGATCGATCTAAAGCTTCGAAACAATGTTTATGCATCATTGGAGCCTCATCCCAGATGATCAACTTTGCTTCTTCTAACAAAGCTGCAATATCACTATCAGGAGTAATGGTGCAAGTTGAAGTCTCGTGTACCTGTATTGGTATTGAAAATCGAGAATGCGCCGTGCGACCACCTTCTAATAACAATGCAGCCATTGCACTGGATGCTACATTTATGACAATCTCCCTTTTTGATCGAATGTAAGTAGATAGAGTTTTCCATAAAAACGTTTTGCCTGTGCCTCCAAATCCATAGACAAAGAAAACACCTCCTTCTTTTGAATCCACTGTAGCCATTATACGCTCAAATATATTCTTCTGTTCAATGTTCAACATAGGTAGCAAACGGTGATATTCCTCTTGACACGCTTGCCTATCGTAACATAATTCATCACTTATGAGCATGTTGATCGCAGTTGGGATATTGTTATCATCAGGAAATGGGATTTCACGGAAATTTGTTAAAGAACTTCCATTAGATAACAAAAGCCTTTCAATTTCAAACAAAGTTTGATTCTTGATTTGCTCCTCTGACATCGAAAAATCTACAGGTTGAAGATAAAACATCAGTTTCAGTTAAACTTAAATGAAATTATGGATTATACCTAAATAACTTATGAAAATGTACCTGGTTCCTGACGGATTTTCTGCTGCATGTATAATATATCCTCGGAGAGTAAATGCCACGTTTCTGACCAAACGCGGTTTGGCGTTGACAAACTTTCTGAAAGAAGAAGCATAACAAAAATTCTTCGCATATAATGTGCTGACCCCCATTGACTTGCTTCGGTTATTGCATCAATATACTCTTTATCATCATCAAGAAGATTTAGGGCAAAACATGCTTCCTTGTAGGTCGAATATATGACTCCATCAACAGTGCGTAAGTCCTCAAAACATGTAGCTCCTGTTGCTTTGTTTAAAAGCATCCTCATGTAGAACAAATTACCCGCTGCTGGAGTAAAATGATGTATTCTCCCAAATGCTATATTCCTTTGACGGTCAGTCCATTCTTTTATTTTCTTGTTCCATACAAACCAAAATGGAAATTCAGCGTACGTGAGTGTCTTAGCGAAATCGTCACGGCTGTTCGTTTTCATCCACTCTAATAGTTGCGAGGTTTGATTTGCTTCTTTGGTTAGGACTTCATCATCATCATCATCGTACATAACACTATGCTCTCCTTCTAGATGAATATTCAGTCTTTGAATATGAACACTACTATAGTGTATTTCAAATCCAAATATCCTCCACGCAGCTTCACATGGTGCAATGTACCTTTAAAGAAATTAGAAAACCGTAAATTAACCTTCCAAAAACAAAGACATGTAGTATACTATCTTAGAAACAAATTTTACCTAAAATCATAGAAGCGCTCGATTTCATCTATAACATGTTCTACGTCCGGGTCTGAAGATGCATCATTTCCTATTGGATTTTTCTTTGTTGTAGCTAAGACACGATCACTTCCCTTGTTGATGTATTTGAATAAATACTTGATTGCTTTTGTTTGGCTGCACCACTCCACATTGATGTGGGCTTGATACTTGAGAAGTAGATATGCGTTGTAAGGAACAACAAATCCGTTGTCTAGAACAGGTCCATTTTTCTCAACTGATCGACCATCATCTCTTCGTTTGTAAACTGGAAATCCATCTTTGTTGATGCAAGTGCTGCTGCTGAAATCTTTAGGGAATTTCTTAGTGCACTTTCTTTTATCCATACATGGTGATTTAGGATTTGCAAGCCCACAAGGTCCATGTATCATAAATTCTTTGACAACATTGTAGAGGCTGGGATTAGTTGCTTCGTCTGGAATTTCAGCAGAGATAACTGTATCAATGGCAGTTGTTGATGACAATTTTGATCCCTTCTGCAAAAAGAGTAGGATATGGGCATGTGGTAGTCCTCTTTTTTGAAATTCTACTGTGTACAAAACTGCATAAAACATGTAGTATCATTACGACAAATCAAAACTTAAAGGAAATTATTCTAAAAATGAACAATAAAAAGAAGTGTTAGATGTTTTTACCTGCTGCTGCAGGACCGAAGACATTATTCTGTTTAATATCAGCAATCAAATTGTCGAGCTTAATCTTAAAGATTCTAGCCACAATATCAGCTCTGTCTATTGATTGTTGACCTCTTGCATTTAGAAATCTTGTAATTTCAGGCCATTTTGGATTGCAAGTGAACGTAATAAACAAATCTGGATATCCAAAGTGCTGACAAACTGCCATTGCATCCATATATCTTTCTTGCGTACATCGTGCGCTACCAATGAAGGTAGATGGTAGCACTATACGCTTACCAACCTTTGAGGTGTTCATGTTTCCTTTATCAGCGGCAGCTTCTACGTTGACGTATTTATCAGCACGTAAAGTCTTTTGGTTTAGCTTCAAGTAGCCTATTCTTTCTGCCTCGATCATTGTCAATCCATCTACCAGAAACTGTTGAAATAATTTCCCTGAGCTCATCAAAGAAGTGGGATGATTTGGACGTTCCATGATGTTGGTGTCGGATCCCGCACCAGAAGTACGAGACCAACCAAAGATTGCCACGTAGTCAAGCGGGTGACCCATAAAGGATGAAGCCCATTGGGCTCATGAACCGAGGGGACGGTCGAAGTGGTTGTCACCACTTCGAGAGTCCGAAGTGACTGCACTGTGTCACGAGTTCGGTGTAGAAGACACGGGTAAGTCGGTTCAAAGACATTTGGGCCAGAAGAGGCGAAGCCCATGAAGATCAGAGTCAACTCAAATTCAAACGTTGAGCATTAAAGCCGAAGAATCAAAACGGACACATTTAAGATGAAATAATTGTACTTAATTACTCATTTTAAATGTCGTTTAGCTATGTATAAATATAAAGGCCAATGGCCATGTAAAGGGGATCTTCCTCTAAAGAGAGAAATAATATAGCAATTTTCGTATCAATTCACAAGTTCTTACGTATTCATTTTTGTCCCTCAAGAATTATCTTTCCCACTTAACAAAATACTTGAGTGTGTGAATCCGACTTCCACATTTTGGCGCCGTCTGTGGGGATTATCAGGATTCTTGAGTGGTCAGATTTCTTCTTTTCTACTTTCCCGAGATAAGCGACAATGTCCGGAGGAGACGCCGTTGAAACATCATTGGCCGAAACCCTCAAAGCTATGCAGCAAACCATGTCGGACATATCACAAAAGTTCTCGGATGTGGAGAAGGCCGTCGATACGTTGCAAACATCCCAGGTATCTCTTAGTCAAAACGTCAATAATATACAAACTCGTGTTCGCTCTTTAAGTGCAGGAAACCCGGTGGGAACCCGAAGAGGGATATTCAACTCGCCAAGTTCCGCTGCACGAAATGAAACCAGCGGACAAACAACTCCCGGTGCTACTAATAATGTAGCTCAGACGTCGGAAGAAGAGACGCAGCTCGGGGATGAAGAACAACTTGCAGCTCAGTACGAGCAGGAGAACCTCGACCAGTTCGAGACCATGAGGAAGGTTAGCCAGGAATTAAAAGAAATGAAATCAAAATTTCATCAGGCTACAAGTTCGGAGCCAGACATCAATCGAGTCATTGAAGAAGCAAGGCGAACCCCTTTTATCCCGCGAATTGCAAGTTTGAGGATCAAAGATTCCCGGAAGCTGAAGCTGGACCCTTACAGCGGAGTGGAGGATCCAAAAAACTATCTTGCAGCCTTTCTGATCGCTGCAGGAAGAGTCGAGTTGGATGAAGCCGATGAGGACGCAGGCTATTGCAAGCTGTTTTCGGAGAATCTATGTGGCCAAGCTCTAATGTGGTTCACCCAATTAGAGCCGGGTTCGATCAGCAATTTCGACGAACTGTCAGCCGTATTCTTAAAGCAATACTCTATCCTTATGGATAAAAGCGTTTCGGATGCCGATCTTTGGAACTTAACCCAAGGATCTAATGAGTCACTTCGAGTTTTCATCACCAAATTCAAAGGGGTGCTATCAAAACTCCCAAGAATCTCACAGCAATCAGCTTTATCTGCCCTACGAAAAGGATTGCGACATGATTCAAGGTTTAAAGAAGACTTAATACTTCATAAACCAGATACAATTCAGGATGCACTCTTCCGTGCAAACAATTGGATGGAGGTAGAAGACGAAAAAGAAAGTTTTGCCAAACGGAATAAACAAGAAAAGCCGGCAGTCACCGTCCCTACCAAGAAGTTCGAGCCTAGAGAAAGCAAAGGACCAAGGAAGTTTGGGTCGCAACCCTTCAACAATTCCGTCGGGAAACAATTCCAAGGGAAAGGAAGATCAAACACTTGGGTCCGTGATGAAAGTCTATATTGCGACATTCATAAAGTAACCGGACATTTAACCAAGGATTGCAGCGTTCTTAAAA